TGGGAGTGTCCAGCTTTTCAACCAGTGTGTTCCAGTGTTGGCCATGCTTGTCACAGTTGTCTTCGCCCCTCTTCTAGCCACCATTTTGCGGAAGGGGGTAGAAGTTTCCCAGCCACACACAGGCACACAAAAGTCTTAGCCTGGGGCAGGACATCTGGCCCCTGCTGCTTGCTGACCCCCTCCATACACATGTGTTTTGACCTTTTTGGCTCCATGCAGCCTCAGTACAGGCTCCCTTTCGCTGGGTCACAAGCTGCCCTGCTGCCAAGGTCCTGCATGCTGTTTACTGTTGCCTGGTGCAGCCTCTGCTTACTGTAGCTGTTTTAATCTGTTGCCTTGGCATTTCTCCCTGCTCCCCAGTGATTTGGCCCAACCCGCCCTGTTACAGTCTTGCAGACAGGAATCTTGGGGGAGGTCTCAAGGGAGGGTTTCAGTAAAATATTTCTCAGTTCTCCAGGTATGCCCTTTCAGGACTGTGGTCCCCAATAATTGGTCAGTGACAGGGCAGAGGGTCTTTAGCCATTGTAGTTGGACTTGGCATCTCCCATCTGATTTTGCAGCTTTTCTGGGCCTGGAGCTGAAATACAACTGAGACCTAGGTGTCATCTCTGGGGAGGTGACCTTTTGTGTCTGGCTATAAATTGCCCAGCCAGTTTATTCAACTCTCTGTCTCAGTTTCCCTACTCCACTTACCAGGAAATTTTCCTAGCTTTTACTATTCTGTCTCAAAGTCATTCTTGATTCTTCTCTTGTTCTCCCATGCTCTGTATCCAAATTCTCGGGAACATCATACTGGCTCTGTCTTCATAGTATATATAGAATATGACCATGACCAGAATTTGATTTTCTTTCTCTGTTTCTACCTTTGCTGCCTTAACACTGCACAACAGTCAGAGAAGTACATTTAAAATGTGTCGTATCATGTCAGCCCTCTCTTTAATACTGTAGGTGTTCTACATTTACAGGAAAAGCCAAAGTTCTCATGGCTTATGAGACCCTAGCGTGGCATCCCATAATAATAGAATTTACTTGTTTATTATCTCTTTCCCTCATTAGAATATAAGTTTCTTGTGGAGAAGGATCTTTGATTTGTTCACTAATGTATCTTAACTAGAATAGTGCCTGGCACTCAAACATTTATTGAATTAATTTATTAAATGAAGTTTTCCTAGCCATTAAGTAACAAAAGCATTTGCAGTAGAGGTATGGCTTCAAGTCTATGCACCTAACTTCAGTGCAAAAGCTTCCTTCAGTGGTTATCAGACTGCAGCCAATCAGATTATTTTCTTCCCTTGGAGAGGTGTATATAAGACTTCCTCCTCTAGAATGTGTAGAGTGGGCCAAGAAGCCTTCCCAACTACCATCTAATGATTTACTAAAACTCAGAAAGTGAAGCTCTGTTCCTGCCCACAAGGTCTTCTAATATATTAGAATCCTTTAGGATTTGTACATCTGTGTATCAGCCCCACCCTTAGTATAATTTATTAAAGACCTATATATTTTCTTGAAATCAGGTATTTAAAACCACATGTTAATGTAGTAATATGTCTTAAATAACAAACTACAAATATGCCCTATTCTGCAGCTATGACTAAACATTATCACTACTGAAATAAACAGTAGTTACAAATCTATATAAATAGGAAAGTAGTCATTACTATTTATCATCTGGGCCCAGTGTATCCTTTTAAATTTTTTATGTTCTGAGTTATCTTACCAATAATATGTAGAAGTAGGGGTAAAGGATAGTCCCAAAGCAACCTTATTAGACAATTTAATACTACTTTAAATGTAGCAAACTCAAATTTTTGTTACACCCATCCTGGTCTGTGTACTGGAAATAGGCAGTGCCTTCTAAATGCAAATAACTGTTCATCCACTGTTATGCGTGGGCCTGGAACATACCCATTTGTAAATCCCAATTCCAGATTCCAGATACATTTCTATTAAGTTCTTGCTTATAATTACTCTGGTTCTTCTTGTACTTTCACTGTCAAAATGGACTAGTGAGTCCAGATTTTCAGTATCTCTCTCCTGGGTTCTAGTTTATGATTCTTTCTTGTTGTTCCTACACTTGCATCATCAATAGCAATACTTTTGAAAAATGTGATGGCTCATATCTTCATTGGAGAGTACAGTCTTTCTTCATAAGTTCAAAATATCTTTATGTTCAGGTTTATAAATAAACATCAGAATGATCAATATGGTGAATTTTAAAAATTTCTACATTGTGTCTCCTTCTAATAGCCTTTAGATACAAATTACCTTTCGTCCACTTAAAATCATGTGAAGTAAATCTCGGTACATGAGCATAAAAATTTAAAGAATTCACTCTTGAGTGACTAACCAATGGAAACACCATATTCCCACTGCCCTGAAATACATTGTTCACTCAGTAATTTTCAAGTTTTGAGAATATTTATCAAAGATATTCTGAAGAATCATAGTCTGAGACTTTAGTTATCAAAATAAATTTTATCGTGACACTAGATGCCAGAGTGCTGCCATCTGTTTTTTTTCATTCATCTTCTGATCCTTTTAATAATTGTCCAACGTACTCTTTTGTCAATATTTTCTCTTTGCTGTTGTGAAAAATTGAGTTCTTCATTTTAGGCTTCAATGAAGATTAATAAGAAAACAGGACTAGGTTTTCTCCTTCTTTAAAAGATAATGGAATCCTTGACAACATAGTAAAAGAAAAAAAGGACAGCAAAACTGTAATGCAATAGAGTTGATTTATTTCACTATCACACCATCCTCTAGTCCCAGGACTGGCAAACTTGTTCTGCAAGGGGCCAGATAATAAATACTTTAGGTTGTATGAGCCATTCAATCCCTGTCTTGACTTCTAAACCTGGTCTTTGTAGTGTGAAAATGGCCACAGGGCTCTGTAAAGGAATGAGTGTAGCTATATGTTCCAGTAAAATTCTGTGTCCCAAAATGATCCATGGGATAAACTTAGCATATGTACCATGGTTTTCCAACTTCTGCTCTTGAGCACACTTGGGGGTCATTTTTGAGTAATCATGAAATGGTTCCTAGAATGATGAAACAGCAGACTGTTTCAAGATATAGGAAAAATAAGATTCATGAGAATCTCATGTCCTAGATTTTTTTTTAAGATTATTTATTTATTTTTAGAGAGGGAAGGGAGGGAGGGGGAGAGAGAGAGACATCAATGTGTGGTTGCTGGGGGCCATGGCCTGCAACCCAGACATGTGCCCTGACTGGGAATCGAAACTGAGACACTTTGATTCACAGCCCGCACTCAATCCACTGAGCTGCGCCAGCCAGGACTCATGTCCTAGATTTATAAAAGAATCAAATGGACTCCTTTTATATTCCCTGAAATTTCTAGGGAAAAAGTCATAAAAACGTTAATCCATGCAAATATAAGAACTGCTAAAAACAAAAACAAAAAAAAACCCCTAAACGAAACAACTAAAATTGAGTCTGGTGTACCCTGATGGTAGTATTGAAGACTGAATTATTTTGGAAAGATGATTAGAAAGGCATTCTTCTCTTTACATTTTCCTGATGTCATAATTTGTTTTGTTATTTGGGAGTAGGGGGTAGGCAGGTTAGACATTAAGACATGTATTCCTGAAAGTCACAGTGTTATATAAAGTCATGCAATAAAAACCACAGGGTGGTGAGAAAAGTGTGGTTAGGGGTACAACACGAGAAACTTCATCAATGACACTTAAAGATAACCTAATAAAAATGTAGCGTAGTTTTTATACATGTTAAATGGTTAAGGATGAAACAATACAATAAATATGGCACTTTACCTTATAAAAGATCAGGTGTGGAAGTCACCATTGGAAGAGTTTTTCAAAGTGGCAGGAAGAGGATTATCTACAATCAGTTAGCATTATAATACTAGATGTGAATGGATGGGTATGGCATATAAGACTTTGAGAATAGAGCGGGATCTGAGGTGTGCTTTGTGTATTCCCATGTCTCTAAGTTCAGCTGGGTGCAGTTTTCTGCATTCACCAGATGCTTTTATCAGCTGTATTTGTACAGAAGCAAACAGGACTTTGCTTTATGCTTAAATTGGTTCCTAATTTATTAGTATGTTGGGACAAATTTTTATGTTTTCAAAACATCATTTGCTGTAAAACACAATAAAAGGAAACTACAGTAATCTCCCCACTTATCTTGAAGGAAATACATTCCAAGTCCCCTGGTGAATACCTGAAACTGCAGATAGTACCAAACCCTATATATAGTATTTTTTCCTACACATACTTATCATAAAGTTTAATTTATAGATTAGGCACAGTATGAGATTCACAATAATAATCATAAAGTAGAACAATTATAACAATATACTGTAATAAAAGTTATGTGAATTTGGTCTCTCAAAATATTGTATATTACCCTTGTAATGGTGTGAGATGATAACAGTTTCTGTGTGATGAGATGAAGTGAGATGAGTGACGTAGACATTATAACATATTGTTAGGCTACTGTAAAGGTTACTTGAACACAAGTACTGTGATACCTCAACAGTTAATCTAACTGAGATGGCTAATGGACAGATAGCAGATACAGTGTGGATCACTGGAAAAAGGGATGAGTCATTATCCCAGACAGGATTTCATCATGATACTCAGAATGGCATGCCATGTATGACTTATGAATTGTTTTATTTCTGAAATTTTCTGTTAAATATTTCTGGCCAGTGATTGACCACTGGTAACTGAAACCACAGAAGGCAAAACCAGAGATAAAAGGGGACTACTGTATTTTTCAAAATAGCTTATTAGTTATCATTGTTCTTGAGAAATGGTAAGGAAACCATTTTGAGAATTTCTTTAAAAAGCAAATGATCTCTTTATATATGTGTTACATTGCTTTAGATTTTAGTACTTAAAACATTTCCTTAATGTCTAGACAAACACATAATCTGGTTTTTAATTTGTAGTTGAATAGATTTTACTTAATTTCCATCAATAATTCAAGAAACAATTTTAATGCTTTTAAAAACTCAGGAACAAGAACAAGTACTCAATGATACAGTGGATGGCAAGGAAATATATAATACAATTCGTCGAAAACCAAAAGATGCCTTTTATAAAAATATTGTTAAAAAAGGTTACCTTCTAAAAAAGGGTAAGTATAAACTTTTAAGACTATAAAGATTCAAATTTAGTGTTTTATCATTTACAATAGAAGCACTGTAAATATTGAGAATTAAACTTATCATTGAGATATCTATTTAATAAGCTTGACCTGAATTATTAGTCATTGGCCCTTATTTAGAGCTTTTATCTAAAGAGCCTTCAAAATCTTGTCTAGGTATATTAAGTCCACATTTCCAATCACAGTTTTAGGAAAAATGCTTATATATTTCCAACTATGTCTTTAAATCCTAAGGTCAGTTCCAGTACTAGATATTTGATTCTTTGCCTCCTCCCTCCCTCATACCCCAATACCCACCCCAATTCTTTTTCAAAAAGAGAAACTTCCTATGGCATCTGGCACATTTATGGTGTTGATGTTTTTATTTTATAGGGTTGCCTCAGTTTGACATTAAGAAATGTTAGGGGGTTGTAAGGGTATATGCATAGTGGATTTTATTTTTTTTATGACTGAAAAAGAATTACTACTAAATAAGAATCTTAAAGAGTTTATCATCATAAAATTTTTAAAGGTATAGTTTAGGTACTTTTGTCATTCACTCTGATTCATTAAAAAACAAGTGATATAAAAGTCATTTTTTTACAGATAAATTACAAACATTTTTTCATTTTATAAGGACTAGTATATTATTTAAGCTTTGGAATACAAATTGAAATATATTTAATTTTTAATAGTTTATTTTTCATTGTATTTGTCAATTACCATTTATCCCCCTCTTGCACCCACCCTCTTCTGCCTCCATCCACCCACCATCCCCTGCAATCACCACACTGAGATATATTTTTATATTTTCAACAATTATAATTTTTATGATTTTAATATGTATGACTTCACAGTTCATCATTTGGCTAAGGCAAAATTTTTGCTTTTTTAACAGGCAAAGGAAAACGGTGGAAAAATTTATATTTTATCCTAGAGGGCAGTGATGCCCAACTTATTTATTTTGAGAGTGAAAAACGAGCTACAAAACCAAAAGGATTAATAGATCTGAGTGTGTGTTCTGTCTATGTTGTCCATGATAGTCTCTTTGGCAGGTAAGAAAATATTTATTTTGTAATTGTTTTATTAATAAAATAGTGGATATGTTCAGATAATTTCACATCATAGCAAACCAATTTTGAGAGCCCTAAAATGATCTAAAATTACATTTATTTTTCAGGGTAATTTTTGTCCTTCTTACTTATCCTTACTACTTTAGATCAACCTGTGCATAAAATACTATTCCACTGTATTGCAGAGAAATCTTTGGAATGGCATTTCCTATAGTAAGACTTGATCTGTATATAGTATGTTTCCTCCCTGTGCCTGCCACCAATCTTTTAAGTGACTTACTTGGAGTCTTATCATTTCCTCCCCTATTTTATCACATTCTCTGTTAACTTAGTGCATCTTATAGTACAAGGTATAGTTAGTTGTACTGTTCCCTTGATAGGCATGTTCCTAAGCAGCATTGCTGAAATAATTATAAAAACAGAGCTTCCGGCCAAGATGGAGACATAGGTAGATATGCTTTGCTTCCTCGCACAACCAAAAGAACAACAAACAATTTAAAAACTAAAAACAACCACAACTACCAGAAAATTGAACTCTGTGGAAGTCCTACAACCAAGGAGTTAAAAAGAAACATTCATGCAGACTGATACAAGGGGCAGAGACAGGCAGCTAGGGCGGAGAGAGCACATGGCAAAGTGGCAGACCAGGCAGGCAAGGCTGTGGCTGGCAGACCAGCAGTCCCACAAGCACATGTGGATAAGCCTGGAGGAACGACTGGGGAGCAAGAAAGACTCTGCAACCCAGGGTTCCAGCACAGGAAACTAAAGCCTCAAAACCTGACTGTAAAAACCTGTAGGGGTTACAGGGGCAGGAGAAACTCACAGTCTCACAGGAGAGTTCATTGGAGAGACCCACAGGGTCCTAGAATGTACACAAACCCACCTACCCTGGAATCAGCCCCTGAAAGGGCACAATCGACTTGTGCGTACTGGGGGGAAGTGACTGAAAGCCAGATGAGAGCTAAGCAAGCTAATTGTTCCCTCTCGCACCTCCCCCACATATAGCGCCATAATGCAGAAAAGGAGTTGCCCCTTCCCAGTGAATACCTAAGGCTCCACCCCTTACAGCATAACAGGTGCCCAGACAAAAAAAATATGACTCAAATGAAAGAACAAATCAAAACACGGGTAATCAGGATGCTCATAGAAGTGAGTACGGACACAAAATAGAGGAAGAAGTGAAGGTTATGCAAAGTGAAATAAACAAAAATAAAGAGGAAACCAACAGTGAAGGAAAGGCAGCCAGGACTCAAATCAACAATTTGGAGCAGAGGGAAGAAATAAACGTTCAACCAGAACAGAATGAAGAAACAACAAATCAAAAGAATGAGAGGCTTATGAACCTCTGGACAAGTTTAAATGTTCCAACATCAAAATCATAGGTATGCCAGAAGGAAAAGAGGAAGAGCAAGAAATTGAAACGTATGTGAGCCCTGGCTGGTATAGTTCAGTGCTTTGAGCATGGGCTGGGAACCAAAGCATCACAGGTTCGATTCCCAGTCAGGGCACATGCCTGGGTTGCAGGCCATGGCCCCCAGCAACCACACATTGATGTTTCTCTCTCTTTCTCCCTCCCTTCCCTCTTTAAAAATAAATAAATAAAATCTTTTAAAAAATCTTAAAGAAAAAGAAAAAGAAATTGAAACTTATTTTTTGAACAAATAATGAAGGAGAACTCCCCCAATCTGCCAAAGGAAATAGACTTCCAGGAAGTACAAGGAAGCTCAGAGATTCCCAAAGAAATTGAACCCAAGGAGGAACACACCAAGGCACATCATACTTGAATTATCCAAGATTAAAAAATAAAGAGAAAATCAAAATCAGCAAGAGAAAAGTGATGCGTGGGTCACCGGCCAGCAGTGATCACAGAACGCTGCAGATGGCTCGTTGAAATGAGAGAAAAACATGCACAGAGACAACCAGGTCCTGTGGCGGAATAGGAACAACAGGGCCACTCCACATTTGGGGAGCGCCTTGGCCACCCTCCCTGGTGGGCAGAGTGCGCCATTCCCTCTCCGGAGAGGCTTTTTATTGGTTTCCTTTGAATAAGAATTCAGGTAAAGCACATTACTCATTACGAGGAAGTAAGGATCAAACAATAGATAACAAGGAACTCTGAGGGTCTATTTTGAGTCAGGGTAAAAGAGCTGTAAGACTTTTAAGGAACAAACTAACTTCCTCCTTGTACCCTTCTCATTCAACTGAGAGCATTCTAAACAAAGGAGGTTTCACAGGATCTTACATATTCTTTCTTGGGCCTGATCACCCAGGGAATCCACCCTTTTCAGCACAGAGCTGCACCACCGTCATTGTTTCAGGCTTAGGTGGAGCAAGGGAACTAAGGCAACCAAGAGATAAGGAGATTTTCTCCCAGACGCTGAGAACTCAGGCTATGTCAAAGCCGAGGAGCGAGGGTCCATCACCCCCTTTTGCTGTAGCCCCCAAAGTCCTTTCTTGGGGGCCTCCCACGTGATCATACCTGTCTTAGGTCATTCCTCCCTTGGGGAATCTTACCCATCTTTGGCTAACCGACCAAGCTTTGGGGTTCAGTTATGAATGAAGCAGCAGAAGCAGTGCTCCTGCCAGGGAGATAAGCTTTTGTCTCCTTGCTGGCTTACAGTTCCAAGGGCGTTCCCTTAGCCTTAGCCTAGGCGGGGTTACAGCTTCTGATACTGTTACAGAACACAACAAGGGGGGCCTGGGACAATATACTATTATCGAAAGAAGGCCCCGGGTCCGTTATGTCCGCCGCCAGAGGAAAGACGTCTCTCAATGCCAGAGATTTGTGAAAAGGAAAGGAAATGTTTATTTAATGCTATACAGACTTCAAGTAGTGACCTAATGTCTTCATCAAAAATCCCAAAGTCCGCCCTGGCTGGCATAGCTCAGTGGATTGAGCACGGGCTGGGAACCAAAGTGTCCCAGGTTTGATTCCCAGCCAGGGTACATTCCTGGGTTGCAGGCCATAACCCCCAGCAACCGCACATTGATGTTTCTCTCTCTCTCTCTCTCTCCCTCCCCCCCCTTCTCTCCCTAAAAATAAATAAATAAAAATCTTTATAAAAAAAAAATCCCAAAGTCCCCCAAAACACCCACAAACACACACAGTCCTTCCTTCCTTCCCCCTTTGCCCAGTCCAGAGTACCATATCTCAGGAAAGGAAAACGAAGTCCATGGCTCAGACAGTCCTCTGGTTCTTAGTTAGTCCTCCATCTCGACTGGGAGACCTCCCTGGGTTCCCGGCACCCTCGGCTGAGTCGCCGGGATCTCTGCTAAAACCAGGTGGTGGTTCCCCCTTCTAAAGCTGTGGGGGTCCCCACTCTGTCCAGGCTGCGTGGTTCTCCCTCTCTCAGGGCTGCGGGAAGGGAGAGTCCCCACTCTGTCCAGGCCGTGTGGTTCTCCCTCTCAGGGATGCGGGGGTCTTCACTCTACTAAAGCTGTGTAGCTCTCGCCAATGGCCGTGATCCTCTCTGCACCTCCACAGCCATATGGTTCTCTCCTCTCAATGGCTGCGCATAGCTCTCCTTAAAAGCTGCATGGTTCTCTCCCTCAATGGCTGAGGTCCTCCCTATTCTGCTAAAGCCGCATGGTTCTCTCCTCCTCAGGGCTGCGCATGGCTCTCCTTCTCAAGGCAGCATGGTTCTCTTTCCTAAAGCACCACAGTTCTCTCTCCTAATGGCCGCCAAGTCTGGGTTTTAAATCCCCGCGGCCAATCTTCCTCTGCAGCCTCATTTCCGACTCCTCGTACACTCGGCTTCACATGCCAGAACTCGTATCTTTCCAGCTTTACTGGGCTGCCATCATGAGTCTGGGCAGGTGTGGCCCATGTCCTGGAACCAATCTTCTCCAAGCTCCCACGCAGGCGCTGTAGCTTGGGGGATCTGCCCCCAGTCACGTCTTGGTGGGGAAGTTACTTCCATTCCCCTGGCTGAGAGATGATCACAGCTATTTAACATATCTAAGCGACCAGCCAAAGGCTATAGATATGTTAAATGACCACACCAGAGGGTAGCTGCAAGGCTGTTGCTATGCAAAACAGCTCTCAGTGGCCCTGCTCCATTTGTCCCTTCCCCTAACCCACACCCTGGGTGGGGGGATGGAGACATCTTAAAATCTCCTGGACACCTTAAGTTCTGGACCCCATTTCAAATGTCCATTTGGGGTCCCCCCTCTTGGCTGCACCCTGTAACAATACCAGGCAGGGCGGTTCCCAACAGAAAAGGAGACAGTTACCTACAAAGGAGTTCCCATAATCCTATCAGCAGATTTCTCAAAAGAAACCTTGCAGATAAGAATAGGCTGGAAAGAAGTACTCAAGGTTATGAAAGGCAAGGACCTGTATCCAAGATTGCTCTATCTAGCAAAGCTATCATTTAGAATGGAAGGGCAGATAAAGCGCTTCCCAGATAAGGTCAGGTTAGAGGAGTTCATCATCACCAAGCCCTTTTTATATGAAATGTTAAAGGAACTTAATCTAAGAAAAAGAAGAATATCAAAACTGAACAGTAAAATAACAACGAACTCACAACTATCAATTTAATCTAAAAAACAAAAACGAACTAAGCAAACAACTAGAACAGAAATGGAGATCACATGGAGGGTTATCAGCGGGGAGGGGAAGGCAGAGAATGGGGGGGAAGGTACAGGTAATAAGAATTGTAATTGGTAGGTAGCAAATAGACAGGGGGAGGTTAAGAATAATATAGGAAATGGAGAAGCCAAAGAACTTATATGTACACCCCACAGACATGAACTAAGTTGAGGGGGAATGCTGGAGGAGGGAGTGCAGGGTGAAGGGGAATAAAGGAGAGAAAAAAATGGGACAACTGTAATAGCATAATCAACAAAATATGCTTAAAAAATTATAAAAACAATTGTTTCAGTAGAAAAATATAGTATTTCAGATTTTCTATTGAAACATTTTTTTTACTTTAATTTCTAAAGTTTTTTAAAACTATGAAATGTGTGCACTGAAGGTAAAT